CTTACAAAATTTTGTCTTGGAACGTTTTTGGAGCAGGAAGTAATGACTTCAGACAATCCATCAAGCTGCTTAGAGAAACCTACATCCCCATTTCCTACTAATCTTTGAACCATCGATCAGTGGAGATAGAGCCATGACAGATTGCGTCAAACTAGGATTTGGGAAAGTGTTTTTTGTTGATGCGGATGGGCGCAAATGAGGTATTTGGCTTGCTTGGAAACCTGAGGATTTCAATGTTAATCTCATAGATGCCAGCAAGCAGCATATCACTGTGAAAATCTCATGCTCTGCCTCACTGATTGGATGTTGGCCGGTGTTTACGAAAGCCTGCAATACAAATTTCATCGATTACTCTGGAAACACCTAGAAAGCTCTAGTAAGAAATTTAAAATGCAATGACTCGTTACCAACGATTTTAACGCCTACAGCTTACACTCAGAGAAAGCAGGTTCCATCTCTTCCTAAGCTCTTAGAAGATGCTATCGTTTTGTGAATTGGATTGATCTCGCTAATCTTTTTTATCTAGGTTTTTCAGGGCCATGATTCACTTGGTTCAGGGGAGATACAACAAGAACGCACAAGGCCAACATGACTAGTTACCGACGATTTTAATGCCTACAGCTTACACTCAGAGAAAGCAGGTTCCATCTCTTTCTAAGCTCTTAGAAGATTCCATCGTTTTGTGAATTGGATTGATCTAACTAATCTTTTTTATCTAGGTTTTTCAGGGCCACGATTCACTTTGTTTAGGGGAGAGACAACAAGAACGCACAAGGCCAACATGATAGATCGTTCACTTTGCAATGCGGCCTGGAATGAGGTTGTCCCCAATACCACAGTGCAACATTTGACGAAGCTACATTCAGATCATCCGCTCTTCTTACCTCTCATTCTCCCACGAATTTTAATCACAATGGCAGCAAACCGTTTCAATTTGAAGCTGCTTGGTTGCTTCATGACCATTTTGTTGAATTCTTAGCTGGAACCTGGAAATCTAAATCAAACCTTCAAGAGGCTCTAAATGATATTATCCCCACGTTACAACACTAGAACATGTCGACTTTTGGGATTATTAGTCATGGAAAGAAGAGGCTTCTAGCTAGGATTCATGGCATTCAGATTAGGATGGCCACTTGTTTTACCAGAGGTCTCGCCAAACTTCAAGCGAAGTTGAAAGCCGAGCTAGATACCTTGATTGCCCAAGAAGAGCTCATATGGTACCAGAGATCTAAAGAAAAGTGGGTCAAACTAGGAGAGCAGAACAACTCCTATTTCCATCAACAGGCCATGCGCAAATGAAGACGGAACAAGATCCTTTCCCTGCGTGACACCACTCGACCCTTCCACGCGTGCTAGGACCTGAAATGTATCAAAACAAGTACAACCTAGTGTGAAATATGTCGAGGTATGATGAAATGCAAAGTCAAACGATTAAGATATGAGGGGGAAAATGTGTTCAATTGGACCGGAATCAGACCCCCTGTCAAGTGGAAGAGACAAGCCATTTTGGAGTCTCACGTCGACATGAGCTTTGTCCACCAGCTCAGCGTTCAGGAGCATGATCAACACAGAAACAGAGTAGCAGATGATTTGGAAAAGAATTTGGAAGCTCCAAGTCCCTGAATGGGTTCGTATGTTTAACTAGATGGCGGTAAAGGGGAAGCTGAATACAAATGCAGTAATGAAGTATCGACATCTCACTCATGACGACTTTTGCCCTCACTGCAAGGAAGCGCCAGAGACAAGCCTCCACTGCCTAAGAGACTGCGGAATGGCCAAAATGGTATGGAATAGGATTTTCTCTCCTCACATAATGGCAGAATTCTATCATACTAACTATGACATATGGATTCAGCCCAACATAATGAAGGAGAACCAGGGAAATTGGCCAGGAAAGTGGGGAAGTTACTTCGCATTATTGATCTGGTACATCTGAAAGTGTCAAATTTACAATGCTTTTAAGGGAATCAAAATGTCAGCATCGACTTCAGCAACTACATTCTCGCCAAAGCTCAAGAATGGGCAAAAGTGTGGGAGACAGCCAACCTTAAACAAGACCGCCTCTCCCTGCTAAACGGAACTGAAGCCTTGATTGGATGGAATGCGCCAAAATAGGGATGGTAGAAGTTGAATACATATGGGGCTTCTCATAGCAACTAAGAACTGATTTCAGCGGGAGGCGTCCTCCGCAAATGTTAGGGAGACTAGCTTGGTGGCTTCTGTAGCAAAATCGGGAATGGATCATCACTCAAAGCTGGATTATGGGGAATTCTTCAGGGACTGCAAATGGCATTGCAGAGTTCTTGATACTAGAATCCAGCTCTCAATTGGTCCTTGAACTAATATAGAAACGCAATGATCCAATACATCCATACACGACTATTCTAGGCCTTATTTGTCGACTACTTGGACAAGGCTGGGTGGTTCAGATAGTTCATACGTACAGAGAAGGGAATAGAGTCGCGGACTCTCGAAGCATAGTCTCATATATCCCTTCGGTACGCATGAACTTGATGATCCACCAGCAAATTTGGCTCACATGCTGCAGGAAGATGTTATCGGAGTAAGCTTTCCCCGCCAAATTTAGATACCTCAAAGCTCGGACACCAGACCCTCTTGTGTCCCCTATTTTGTGTTTGATCCCCTGTTTATGAGTACTCTATTTTCGGCTCTGTAGTAGCTATTGTATTTGTTTGGTTGTTCTAGCCTCAATTTAATAACAAAAAGCACCAAGGAAACCATTAATTTTGGTTTCTCTCAATTAAACCTAGTTGTATGAATCTATTTCATAAAAAATAAATAAAAATCCCAACTGAATATTTTTTCCTCAGTTTTTGACAATTTTTAAGAAGAAAACACAAAATAAAAACAAAGAACAATACTAAACAAGCCCTTAATGAATTATATTAGTATCGTGCTAACACAAAGAGGTGTTAGCACCCTATCCGATCCATAAAAAGTAAGTGAGAACAAATTAGATTGACATGTACGATAGGTATGACAATTAATTAATGATGAAATGACCAAATTGCCGATTTTTTTATATTTTATCATAAATTGGGCAGCGGTTAGGTGTTGACACCCAATTTGTCAGCCAATAGGACATTTAGTTTTGATTCATTTGTTTATTTATTCAAAGGGGTTTATCAGAATTAATGTGAACTTATAAAGGAAGGGACACATGGTAGGGCAAAAGCGTATATGCCAATTTCCTATCTCGTAGTAAACCGGAAAGTCCGGGTATCGTCTCTCAGGGACTGGTACAACCTTATGATTTATCAATTCTTTCGAGCAAACTATATGTGAAAATGTTTAAGAGATGAAATTATTAACTAATAGCAAAATAACTAAACTAATTAAGCAAAGTAAATTTGTCGGAAGAAATTCAATGGGAGAAAGCTCTGGGAGAAACACCGGGATTCACTACCTATCCTATCCAGATTAATTCACAGATGCCAATCAATTTAATCCATACCTCTACAGCCAGGATATCACGAATGTGCTAGCTATCCCTGTCGGGAATTACTACGTACTAAACAATCAATTCAAATCCTACTGTCGTAGCTCAATGAATTAACTATATAGTCTGAAGATCGATATCCTATTTAAGACCGCATAGCACCTTATTTAATCCACTGTCGCTTCGATAAGTTACCATGTCACATGAAATATGTTCAGTTAATAGGGTTTCACTGTCGCTAATAACCTAATCAACTACGATTCATTGTATTGGTGGCCAGTCAACACAAAGCATTAAGAAATTTCATGCAATAGAGATTGGAAGAAAAGAATCATGAATCAATCCATCAAATCAAGAAATAGCTACATCCTATGGTGTTTCCCCCAGAAATTGGGGTTTAGTTCATGACGAAATTAAGATAAATCGATAGGGTTTTGTTCATCATGTTCTAAATCAACAATACACAACTAGTTCAGTTTAGAAAATCAAACCAACTAATCGCTCTCGTTGAACTCAGCTCTAGCCTTGAAAAATTGATCGCCAAGAATTCTGCCCGCGACCTCAGCTGCTGCGCGCCTTCCTTCTCCCAAAAGAATTCACGTCCCCCCCTACTGCTTTCTTTCCGCCCAAAAAATTCCAAAACCCAAAAGTTTACCCTGGCTCTTTTTTATTATAATTCCGTCCTCCAATTCTCCAAAGAAAGAATCCGCCTCCTTTCTTTTATTCCCTGCTGCCTTCTCCCTTTTCTTCTTTCCGCCCTCTCTTTCTTTTCTTTTCTTCAATTCCCCCCACAAATTTTGTTCCCCTGGCCAAGAATTCCTTCGGCCCAAAAATTCACCAGCCCAGCTCTTGTCCAATTCAGTTAGACCTGGCCCAATAATTGATCCCCGGCCCAAATTAATTCTCCCCGAGACAAAGTGATTTGGGCCCAATTAATTGTTTGTGCACTGCTTCTTTTTCGTGCTTTCTCCACCTGTAACACATCAAACTCATAGCACTAGGCAGTAATGGTTTTTCAACCATTCTCGGGTTAGCGAGCCCTAAAATAGCACCAATTGGCTAAAACATACCATGAATAATCACATAAAGTCCAAGAATCCGATATATTAAAGCCGAATATCAACACACTTATCATTATTAAAAAATTGGGAGGCACATGCTTGTCGTGTTGTGTGCTAATTCCACCTCCCCGCAAGTATGAAGCATACCACAAAACACAAACCATACCACAAATACCAAAAAGCTTGTCTATATCACTATGTTCTCTCTCTTCTCCTCTGTTTGCCGTTCCGGAACGAACACCAATTTCCAAAAAAACAAAATTGAACCTAATAAAAAATTAACAATGATTAGAGATGATAGAAAGGTTTAGTCGTTCCTTCTGAATTATTCGAATTCGGTGTCGTGCAACTGTGTGAGGAGAGTAGAGAAACATACAGAATCCTCCAGTTGAAGGTTAAAACAACCTCTTGTGTATTCAAATATATTATACTCTTTTTAAGTGTTAAATTGATATACACGTTAGGTGAAAATCCTTTCCCCGGAATTGCAGTATTTAGAAATTCGGAGAGTTGGTGTTGTCGCAAACGCTATCACTCTTTCCTTTAGCTTGTTCCGTTAGTTCTCCCTCCCGCCACCCATATCTGATAACCCCAGTCCATGAAATAAAATTTTGTGATATTTGTATGGAGAGGGATGGGGGGAGAAGGAACGGCCGCGGAGGGCGGGGGAATTAAGAACACCGGTGGAGGGTGTTTGGAGCGGAGTTCAACGACGTCGAAGTAGCCAATGAGGATTATGACGGTTTATTTTGTTGAAGTTATTAGTGTGACTGATAAAGGAGAATTTAGTAAATTTACATTTTAAGTTAGGGCGATAATAATAAAACTAGGGCGATGTTTAGCCATCCAGTTTATTTAAGTACATAATTAAACGATAAACCCTTTCCTCAATGGGGCATTCCTTGAGAGATAATCAAAACATATGATTCAATTCAATACATAATTTTTGTTTACCATAGTTCAAGCTATCCACGACTTTTTCGTTATACACAATTGATTTCAGTACATGATATTTTCCCCACCATTTAAACATTCTTCAATTGTTTTGACAATTGAAGATTCCTTGACCCTTTGATCATGAAGAAGGAAAAGTAGAATGTGGAGAAAAAGTGGAGAGAATCATAATGTTTCCCTTGTTTATGAGATTTGCTAAGTTATATGAGTGATTATTTGGGGGGGAAAAAATACGATAGCAGTTGCCTCTCAATTTGGAGTAAAAACAACTATTATCTCTTATTGAGTCTATTTTCCCCTCTTTTCTTCTTTAAAAAATTAACATTATTTTCCCCTCATTATTTTTCCATTCTCAAATATTCACTCCTAATTGTCCTGCCCCTCCCAATGTTTTCCTTCCCTCCTTTCTTCCTTCGAAAATGAATACTATTTTGAGTACTTTCCCCTCATTATTTTTTCAACCTCAAATTGTCCTTCCCCTCGCAATTTTTTTCCTTCTCCCTCTCTTCGGTGACACAGCGTGAAGATGATCAAAATACACTAGTAAGATGTTTTCCCCACGATTCTAGCTTTCCTCAAATCTTTACTGACAATTCATGCTTTTCGCAATTTCAAACGGACTTCTCTTTTATTTTCAGCATCATTTGCAGGAAATGGTTAAGGAAGCAGCAAGAGATGTGATATACGAAATGATCGGTAATAATAAATGAAGGAGATTGAAATTACTTGTCTTTGGAGCCCAACAAAAGACTTAGTGAGTCAGAAAACTGTGTATCCTCTCACTCAACTTCAGATCACAGGCTTGCCAATCACACAAGCATGGCGGATTGGCGGGTGTTTTGTTCATAAATAGACGTCCAAAAATAGAGGATAAATAGTCACTGAATTTGCTGCTCCTTCCCGCCCTTTTTTCCGACTGTTCTAGAAGGCAGGGGAGAAGAGCAGTGTGAAGTGGTTAAATAATGGCAGCCCTAATGGGATCAAATCAAGGATGGTGGACGAACTCGGTCATGCTGCAAGAAGGGTTCTTCAAGCTTTCGCATTCGTAGTGAAGTCAGTGCAAGTCTGGCAATTGCAGTCTGAGAAGCGGCAGATTTCACAGCCAAAGCACACGCAGGAAGTGCATCCCTTGCACGTCGGAGAGCGGGAGCAGCCTCTGTACACCTTTCGACTTGCTCTCTCCTCATCGTCATCACATGTTAGCCTGCCAACAAAACGAGGATATCAGTCGAAGAAACTGAAGCAGAAGGCCACGCAAGGACCGAATTCAATCCTACATTGTCAACCTAAGCTTTTTATGATGTCCTTTGCTGGAAAACAATGGGGTTTTAAGTCAAATTGAGCAGACTAGCTCAGTGCTTATGTTCATAGCATTCGAAATCATAAATCTCATAGTTCTCTGGAGCCTGGACCAGTTCCAGCCACCACCGTGGAAATTTCTGTTGTAGCATACTCCAACAGGATTACTGGTGGCAACAAAATCGTCTAAGGGTCTGAAATTTTACATCATCCATTATTGCAGAGAGAAAGGAAAAAGGAAACATGCCATTATATGTCGTCCAATTAAGTTGGTAGCTCCAAAGCAACTGCCTTTCATGGCTCTGGTTATGGGCCGATCATTTAAAAATCTCCAACAAAGATTTAATATCATTGCCAACTTCTATAGTCCAGGAAAACCTTGTATGAGGAACCAAATTATGAGAAACACTAGCCTTTATCTGACACATATTCCTGGAACTCTTGCATCCAGCGACATAAGTCATAATTTTCCATGTAAAGGTGAAAAAGGCAGAAGTCATACTATATGTTCTATTCATAGCATATAAGGTCTTAGTGAATGTTAACAAGAGAAAGAAACTGCCTGCAAAATGGTAGAAAAGAAGGAAAAAGCATGCAATAATCACAATTATTTCAACAGCAACCCCAAGGAAAGAACATCACACTCTGGTTTGCAAGAACAGAGTTAAGGATGCAGAAATGATAAGAGAATGGGCTGTATTATTAAGCAAATAACAACTATAAATCTAATGTACCAAAGGCAGCATTTTCCATTCACCATAATGGAAATAACGAAACAGCTACTATCAACTTAAAAGGAGAGAAGGCATACTTGTCAAACGGTAAGTCAGCACACTTCCAGCTAGCATTGGCCACAGAATCATGGTGAACTCGACACTCCTCTTTGGTCCTTAAGCGGAATCGGCGCTCCTTGTTACATTTGCTGCAGCGAACAAACTCATCACGATGGAAAACACGTCCAGTTTGAGAGCGGTGGGATCCATTCGATGATTGGTTGTAGTACTTGAGCAACACTGTTTTGGACAACGGAACCTTCTCTCCATTCACTATCACCCACACATTATTCTTCCACTTCCTAGCAGTCTCTCTCCCAGAATGCTTCTCAAATGCAGCAGGACTCAACTTATCTACACAACCATCAACACATGAAAAAAGATCAGCTGTGTGGTCTCAGGAAGCACAAAGGAATTCCATGGAGGACAGAGAGTTCATATGAAAAGCATCCAAAAGTCCAGTCTAATGTTGATAAAGTTATAATCACATGCAGAAGAGAAGCATTTCCGTAAAATTTAGAGCAAGGACAAAGTACAAAAACATGCACATGATAAGAAGCTAAAAGCTAGCAACAGCAAAAGAAACTGCACCAACGATCATGTGCGAGAAATTGGCGAAGAAAAAGTTAGCAGGGGATAGAAGTAGGCCTTAGCTAGATGGTCGGCCTCCAAATACCACATAAACTCTTGTCCGATTAAGTAGCAAGATACTGTATACAACTTAGGCCTCAAAAAAGCAAATATGGATTGGCGTAGCCAGGTCCGGGTTTACTTTATGGCCATAGTATATTCCAAGTAGCAGTACTTATCGGCCTTCTTTCTTTCCCACTGAAATACCAGAGCATATTCCTGTTCTTGAAGACCTAAGCTTCTCTCAAATGGACATCAGTACCACGTACCAACCCTTGTAGCATGCATAAGATAACCTTCTACTCACGACAGTTTTCTCAAACTAAAGTCGCCTACCCATATCAGACTTTGAACCTTAAACATACTTCAGCAAGAAAATTAAAAGGTAGGCGCCGTTGGTATGACTTTTGCACTGTTTCAAAAAAGGAAAGTACACAAAACACTTTTGACGAAGAACATGTATATGATGAGTTGGTCAGAAAGAAACCAACCCATGATCCAAAAATGACCGATGACCCAACGATCCTTCAATAAAGAATAACTGGGCAAGAAAAGTGGGTTACCAAAATGCCTCATCCCAACGTAATGATCCAGGTAACACGAAAGTTTGATCCTAGACTCCTTGTGCTTCTACCAAAATAAAAAATAAAAAGACTCCTTGTGCTGAAGCATGATCTAAAAGAAAGGAGGGTGAGGAAGAAAAACAAAAGGGTAGACAGATATAGGCCACGAGGAGGTTCCTCTGCCTACACAGTAATGGCAAAACTCGGCAGCCACTAGTTCAGTAGGATGAAAAAGAGTGAACAGTAACAACAATGTAGGTTAGCAAACAAAACTTCTTGCTCTTTGTGAAGAATAGGCTCCACAGGCACACGCAACAGCTTACTGGTAGGGGTTACCAAGGCGCAAGTTGGTTCACTGAGGCAATACAGCAAACACTTGGCCTGTATAAGGGAAAAAAACAAACACAAGGCCACTCGGGGACGGTACTCAGGGTAGATGAATCAATGCCGTTCGATTAAAACGATGGGGAGAAAACGACATCAGATGACACATTCAACATGCATAAAATTCAAACCCCAGATATCAAAAAAGGGAAGGAAGAAGACAAATAGGAAAAAATTTAGAGAGGACGAGAACAAGAGATAGAAAGAGGAAAAGGAAGAATGGGAGAGAAACCTTCGTCGCAACCAGGAGTGCATTCGCAGGAGATTTCGAGGTCACCGTTGGGAAAAACCCTAAGCCTACCCACCGCATCGCCATATCTATGGCTAGTACAACCACAAGTGACTTCTATGCAATCCCCGGTTTGCTTCACCCCACTCATCTCCCTCAGTTCTTCCTCACTGAACAACACCACTGTCTCACTCTCCCTCCTCTCATCAACCGCACCACCATTCGCCATTTTATCTCCAACCTCCAGAACCAAAACCCAGAAACGGGAAGGGGATTATCGAGACGGGATCAAGAGAAAGACGCTATTTTGGTGTGTGGGTGTGGCATGGAAACCAAAACCAAGACAGGCGAGGAAGGGGAAAAAAACGAAGGAAAAGACAAAATTAACCAAAGGGTATTATTAGAAAAAGAAGAGAGGTAATAAAATAAAATAAAAAGAAAGGAGAGGAGAGGAAGAGGGGCCTGAGGCCGTCTGGTGTCAGGGAAAGAGGGGCGGTGATATCTCTTTTCCAGCTTTCCTTCTTCCTCTTCCTTCCTGGCCTAGAGATCTGGTGGAGAAATCCTGGCAGCAGGTAAGCTGATACTTGAAAGGATTGGTTTGGTACTAGAGAGAAGAGAGGGAGCGAGAGAGGGGTTGGTGGGTATTTAGGTGATGTGAACGAGAGCAAGTAGAGAGAGAGAGAAGGATGAGGGGGAGAAGGGGAGGAAGCAAAATACAAGAAGAAGAGAGAAGGGAAGAGGTTAGAGGAGAGAAATCGCCCCTTTTTATGCCCATACATACACTCAACTCCTCTACATTGGCTGGCTGCATGATATGACACGAGCCAGCCGGTGGTGATGGAAAAGAGAGTGAAAGCCAAGTTTTTATTATGTTTCTTTTCTTGTGACTGTGAGGCAGAGCAACGGAACAGAGAGAGAAGAGAGGAGAGGAGAGGAGAGGTTTTGTTTGGTTTTTGGGGCTTGGGAAGTGGGTGAGGGAGAAGAGAACGCCGGAGGTTATTTTTTTCATATACTATTGCGGGGTGGGCCGCCCTCAGTCTCAGTCTGACTCCAATCTTTTTCGTGCATAGGGTGGGTAGTGGCCAGTGGGTACCAATTGGAGATTTGGAGTAGCAGTTTTTAGAGAGCCAAATGTAACCAAATATCGGAAATCAGTATAATGGATCTAGGATAATCAAGTCTACTATTAGTCAATGAACTAATTATTAGAGCAAACAGGATGTAAAGTGAGTAAAATACTTTGGTTACCATTTAAGTTTGAGAATAGGTGTAGACATACCATTTAAATTTGAATAGGGCGTCGGGTATAATTGAACTCTATTATTTGTGCACCCGGTATCACTTAAGTTTAATGTTAAGTGTATTCCGTGAAAGTTAACAGAATATTCTTGGAATATTTCGTTTTCTAAATTTCTTAATTGGTCCTTCTACTTTTCTTATTGTAAAAAATCATTTTGACTTATGAAAAACATATATTTTTATTATTTAGTTGGTATCCCCTTTTGAAGACTTGATACCAAATTAATTTTTGAATATAAAATTTAAAATCAATTATCATTATAAGTATTTTCAATTATCATTATGTTTTCTAATAATTGAATTATTTACTGAAGCAAATATATCTTATTAATTATGTTTAGTTGGAATGTTCTTTTGAAGACTCTGATACGAAACCAATTTTTGAATAGGAATGTAGAATCAATTATCATTATAAGTATTTTCATTATCGTTATGTGTTATAATAATTGAACAATTTGCTCAAGCAAATATATCCTATGAATCCTATATCAATATAAATAATTTTAGAAAGTTATATTTGATTCTTGTACATCTTGTCGATGTTGTATAATTTTCTATGTTAAATATCCTTACAATTTTCTAATATTATATTGTAGATGTTCCATATTAATTAAATTTACTACTTCTAATTCTCTTCCTATAGTCGTATTTTCTTTTCTAGATTTGTTACGGAATATTTTAGCTTTTATAGTTTATTTATTATTTGGATACTTTTCGTTCTAAATTTTCTTCAAAGACTGAAATATGTTTAATTCTTTCTGACTGTGTTCCATTTATCCTTCTTTGGTCTTGATGTGTTGATAATTGATTAGATTCATTTTTACTATTTTTAATGGTACTTCTAATTGGATTAGGGGTTTAAATATATCTTCTAATATTAATTTTAAATATTTATTATTATATGATATATATTTATTATTCTTCTTGATATTTTTTATTATTTTTACTAATTTATCTATTTTATTGACAATTTTGATTAGTCATTTTAGTAATATTATGTTTAGAAGGTTTTTTAATTTATATATTAGATAAAAACTTGTTTAAATATAGTTTTGGATATTTCTAAAAGTTTTGGGTACCAAAAAGTAATTAAAATTTTGGGTTGGATGGAAAACTGGACGGATGCACATTTTGGCGACTTTAATGGTACCCGACGCCCTATTCAAACTTAAGTGGTATGTCTGCCTCAATTCTCAAACTTAAGTGGTACCCGAGGTATTTTACCCTTGTAATGTCGATTCACTATAGCTATTGTCGAGAGAGAATCAATTCACTAGTCTCGCAATCAATTCACTACTTCCAATTGAAGGTGCTATATCAACCTGATAAGGTATTCCCTCTCTCGAAGAGTGTGATCAGGACTCAAGAAATTCCTGAATAAAACCTCAATAAGATATGTAATGTCGAGTTTAACAAACCAAAGATCACACAAAAATTATTCATAGCATACAGATTTAGGGTTCTTCAATCCCGTCAAAATCACACTGTAAAGCATAAAATAATATGTTTATACATTTTTGGACCAGAAGAATGCTCCAGTTTCTATCTAAAGTCGCATAGCACACAAAAAGGGTAAAAAATTGTGGTATAATCAGTAAAAACATAAAAAAACGCGTTCAAGATCATTTATACGATTTGAAGCACGATTCAAAAGTGCATACTTATCCCAAAACAACGTCATTTTATGATGACTAGTGAAAAAAGGATCGATCGCTCACTTTAGCTATTGTCGAGAGAGAGGGAAAGAACCCTAAGCTTCCATCTCAAACTCAGCACGGGTGTGGCGCCTTCAACTTCACAAATCATCTCCATCGGGTCCTCACCCTCCTTCTATCTTCATCTGCGGTCAGCACGCTCCAACTTCAAAAGTCACCGTAGCCTCCTAGCATCTGATGCTCTTCTGTCTCTGGTCTCTACCGCAATCCATGAAGGCGATAGCCGAGAAGAAGTATGTAAGATGACATCTTGTAAATCTTGTTTACTACTTGCTGCTTCAATTTTAGTTGGTGTTATTGTGTTAATAGTTGGTGTGAACGTGTGATTTTCGGTTCCATAGTTGGTTGGTGTTAATTATTCCATGATTAATTAGTTTGAAGTGAACACAACTACTCAAAGAACAATATAGTGTTGTCCGTAGTTGGTTTTTATGCTTCCAATTACTCCTTGAAATGATCAAATTTAGCATTACTAAGATTTTTGTGAGTTGCCTGTCCCTTCAAAGTAGCTTATTGCGAGGGAGTATAAGTAAAAATGAGTAATAAAAAGTAGTTTATTGCATTTATGATAGTTTCCTCTTATTTTCTAAAGCTTCAATTTCATTTAGCCTTAATGTAATAATGGTCATGATTTTCTTTTGCAGAACTGTATTGATGTCGAGTGGTGGTGTTGGTACAAGTGCAAGTAACTCTATATCAAGTAGTAAAGCAAAGAGAACGAATGCACCTGGAAATCGCAATGATCTCGATTTGCAGCATGGTGTAGAATTACTTGATACTAGGAAGAAAGTGATATGCAATTATTGTGACAAGGAAGTATGTGGTATATCTGCTTCAAACATCATCTTGCAGGAACAAGAAAGGATTAAGTGGCTTGTGTTAGTATTCCTAAGGAAGTAAGGCAAAAATGCTAGATCTACTTCATCTTAATGAATAAGGAAATGAGGAGACAAAGAAGCTACATGATCTCGATCTTGGTGGGAATGGAGATAGTAGTGGCATTCTAAATGTGGCTAGTGGGAGTGGCACTAGTAAACAAAAAACAATAGGTGCACTTTGAAGAAAGATCTTTGAGAAAAGGCTTGCAAGTCAATATCAAAATGGTGGTATGAAAATGCAATTGCACTCAATGCAACTAGAAGCGATACCTATGAACATATGTGGAAAGTTGTAGCTCGGCATGGTCCTAGTTTAAGCCTCCTTTATATTATGAGATTAGGGAGATTTATTTTAAAGGAGAAATGAAGGAAGTGGAGAGTAAACTGGAGGTGTTCAGAGATGAATGGAAGGCGGTGGAGTGCACTATAATGTCTGATGGATGGAAAGATAAGAACAAAAGTCCTCTTTAACTTCTTAGTTAATAGTTCTCGTGGAACCGTACTTCTTGATGTTGTTAACACCTATGAGATTTCAAAGATGGATGAGAAGGCGTTTGAGATGTTAGATAAAGTTGTTGAGAAGGTTGGAGAAGAGAATAATGTCCAAGTTGTAACAGAAATGCTTCAGCTTATGAGGCGGGAGAATAAATGTTGATGGAGAAGAAGAAGCATTTGTTTTGGAGACCATGTGCAGCCCATTGCTTGGATTTGATGCTAGAGGATCTCGAGAAGAATATTAAGGTGGCTAAGGCTAAAAGGATCACAAATTTCATTTATGAGAGAACAATGTTGGTTTCCAAGATGAGGGAGTTCACTCAAAGGAAGGATTTGGTTAGAGTTGTAGTTACAAGATTCGCTACATCATCTTTTACTTTGGGATCTCTCCATGACAATAAGGGTTCTTTGATGACAATATTCTCTTCTGAGAAGTGGAGGAAGAATAGCTTTGCTAAGCTTCAGGAAGGGAAAAGAGTTGAAGCTTTGATACTTCATGGTAGATTTTGGTAAGTTGTGTTAATTTGCCTTAGAGCTGCTAACCTCTAGTCAATCTTCTGCATTTGGTTGATTCTGATGACAAAACCGGCAATGCACTTCTTATACTCCGAGATGATCCAAGCCAAGGAGAAGATTAAGAGCAACTTCAACAATGTCAAAAGAATGTAATTTTTTAGTTTACTATTACTATTAACTTATGATACAAGTATCTATGTATTTTATTATTTTAAGTTGTGAATTTTATGTCCCTAATGTAGATATAAGCCTGTCTTGAGGATCATTGACAAAAGGTGGAAAGATCAAATGAGTAGGCCTTTTCACTCTGCTGCATATTGGTTGAGTCCTCAAATTCACCATTTTCGGGGTATGGGATTTAACCATAATGATGCAAAGGTGAAAGTAGCATTGTATGAATGTGTGGGTAGACTTGCGAAGGATGATGAAGAGAAGTTAATTTAGAATAATGGAACAGTTGCACGTATTTCATCATTCTCAAGGCTTGTATGACAATTTTTGTGCAATGACCTTAAAGGATATGCAACATACAGCTGATTGATGAACTTCATTTGGAGATGTCGTGCCCGAGCTTCAAAATGTTGTCATCCGAGTGTTCAGTTTGACTTGTAGTGCTTCTGGGCGCAAGCGTAATTGGAGTGCATTTGAGAGAGTAAGTAAGAAATTGTCTCTATTTTCTTTAACTTATGATACAAGTATCTATGTTTTATTTAATGTAGATATAAGTCTGTCTTGAGGATCATTGACAAAAGGTGGGAAGATCAAATGAGTAGGCCTTTTCACTATGCTACATCTCGGTTGAGTCCTCAAATTCACCATTCTCGGGGTATGAGATTTAACCATAATGATTCAAAGGTGAAAGTAGCATTGTATGAATGTGTGGATAGAATTGCTAAGGAGGATGAAGAGAAATTTAGAATAGTGGAATATTTGCACGTATTTCATCATGCTCAAGGCATGTTTGACAATTTTTGCGCAATGACCTTAAAGGATAGGCAACATACACCTGATTGATGGACTTCATTTGGAGATGTCATGCCAGAGCTTCAAAATGTTGCCATCCGAGTGTTCAGTTTGACTTGTAGTGCTTCTGGGTGCACGCGTAATTGGAGTGCATTTGAGAGAGTAAGTAAG